CAGGGCCACTGGGAAATCACTGTGAAACAGGCAGCCACTCCCCTTGGTCAGTTGCATATTGACTTTTCTAAGCTCCATTAAATACCTTTTTAAAAAGCAAGATATATTTCACTCCTTCAATGATGACTGGGCTTGGTCTATTCTGAGCACAGTTCTAGGTCCTGGGAATCCATCAGTGAATGAAACAGACAAGTTAATTCCCACCGCTTGTGGAGTCTGGCAACAAACTGTAAATGTTATAAAAAAGTAGGTTACCTAGTATGTTAAAAGGGGCTATGTGCATCTGGGGTATTGAAAGATATATGATATTTCTCAGTGAAATGGTGACTTGTGAGTTAAACTTGAAAGAGACCAATTCACCATGGGTGTCTGGGGGAAGATGATGTCAGGCAGAGAGGAAACAGCCTGTGCAAAGGTCCTGGGGTGCGAGCAAGTCTAGCATGTTTGAGGAAAAAGAAGGAAGCCAATAAGGTCAGAGCAGTGTGAGCAGGGAGAGAATAATTGAGGATGAGGACACAGTGATCACAGGAGCAAGGGGGGAGGGGCTTGTAGATCTTGCAGAGGCTTTTCTTTATTAAAATTGTTATTTTTAATTTATTTTTGAGTGTGCTGGGTCTTCACTGATGCCCCACAGGGTTTCTCTAGTTGCAGCAAGCAGGGGCTACTTTCACAGGGCTTGAGCTCTTGGGTGCAGGCTCAGTAGTCACGATGTATGGGCTTAGTTGCCCCAAGGCAGGTGAAATCTTTCCGGACCAGGGATTGAACTTGTGTCCCCTGCACTGGCAGGCAGATTCTTAACCAGGGAAGCCTGTGCAAAGGCTTTTCTTGGAGTGAAAAAGAGTGGCATGGTCTGACATGTTCTAACAGAATCCTTCTGGCACCCTCTGTAAGGAGCAAGAGTGAAGCCAGGAGAACAGAAGGCTCCCTAGTTATCTGGGCAGAGATAATGGTGAGCCAGTCAGGGGGGAGCAGTGGGGCTGGAGAGCGTGCTAAAAGGTTATACACACCAACACACACACACACACACACACACACACACACACACACACACACACACACACACACCCCTGCATGCTGTTTCATAACGAAACCAACTGGTCAGTCTAATTATCCACTCCTCTCCTCTGTCCAGGTGACCCACATTCTCAACCTGAACTCTCCTCTCTATGTCCAGATCTGTCTCATCTTTCATCTCCAACTGCCCCTAGCCACACTGCCCTGGGATGACTGCTGCTTCCTCAAACTCAAAACATCTAGGACACCCCCTCCTATCTGCCACCCATGCAGGCTCACTGTTCTTCTCAGTTTCTGGCGATGGACCTCCATTCTCCCCATCCTCCAGCAGAAAGCCCAGGGATGTGTTTAGCATCTTACTTCCCCTGGTCCTCACATCCATCCTTCCAGCAAGATCTCATAGGCACGGTCAGGCCTCTCTCATCTGCTCCTGCTCCTTCTTTCCCACTCCTGCGGGCCTTACCTCTGAACCCTGCATGACTGCATTGGAGGTAGCCTGGTGGCCAAGACAAGGGTTTGGGAGCAGGACTCTCTGGGTTTGAATCCTGGCTTTGCATCCAACTTTGAATCCAACTTTGAACTATGTAAATGTGGGCTGTTTCTTGAATTTCTCTGTACCTCAGTTTCTCCATCTATGAAATGGGTAAAATTACACTTACTTCAAAGCGTTATTGTGAGAGTTAAGTGAACTGTTACATAGAAGACGCCTGGTATGTGCTTAGCACACAATAAATGTTAGCTCTTATTTTTATTCTTTTAGCAATAAGTCTTTATTGAGCGTCTATTACGTGCAGAGACCTCCTTCATACTCAGAGATAATCTGACCCAGGAGAAAGAGCATAGGCCTTGAGTCAGCAATTCTATTCCTAGATGCGTACCCAACAGAAATGTTGACCAATATCCACCAGAAAACATGTCCTAGGATGTTCACAATGCCTTATTCATTGAAGCCTCAAACTAGAAACTACCCAAATGCCCATCGAGGGTAGGATGGATAAATAACATGTGCTCTATTCGCATAATGGAATATTTTACAATGACAAGAAAGAAAGCACTACTGTTACTTGAATATCATGGATGCAATTAACAATATGATGGGGCATGGCTGGGCTGGGTCCCTCCTAACTCTGGCTTCAGTGGGGGTGGCCTGAGTTTCACCTGGTGCCTTCCCAGCACCATCCCTCTTCACAAACAAGAAGATCTCCAATCTTTGCCTTCACATCAGTCCCTGACTTGCAAAGCCTCACTGAGGCAGGATGATGTTGAGAGCTTATTTTCAAGTGAACATAAAGGAATCATACAACATTCACAGCATGTGATGGGTACTCACTCAACACAATGATGCTGTAGGGTGGGCATTACTATTTATGCCCATTTTACAGATGAAAAAAGCCAAATCACTAAGAGGTCAAGTCAAGATAATGATAGCTAAAATTTTCATTTACATCACATAATACTCTCAACAACCCTCTGGGTTGAGTAGTGCTATTATCCCCATTTTAGAGACTAGGAAACTGAGGCACAAAGAAGTTAAGTACCCTGCCTGAGATCATAGCAGACAACCAGCCAGGACTGGGCAGGCAGGCTGGCTGGGCCCACTCTTCATGGCTCTGTTCACAACTTCTCAGGGGTGAGGTCATGGGCCTTGCAGCCAACCTGGTCCAGAGTCCAGAAGCATAATCCCAGGACAACTCATTAATCACTCTGAGTCTCAGTTTACCCATCTCTAAAATGGGAATATCAGTAGCACTTTCCTTAAGGAAGGTCCCAAGGGTGATGTGTGATTATGTGAGTTGAGCTCTTCGCTGAGAGAGCCCCATATGCAGGAATAGTTCAGTTAAGGTCCATGGCTCTCATCCTGGCTTTCAGGATGTTCTCAAACTTGTTCTGGGTAATGTGTGCAGAATTTACTCATATAGAACCAGACATACCAAAGCTCTCAGCCTCTGAGAGACCACAGGCCCAGCCTGGAAAGTCAGATAAACTTGGCTTGGACTAAAATCCCATCTAATTGTAAACCAGCTTTTGGACAGATCGTGCTTCCAAGCTGCTCCCTCATCTTTGAATCAGAGTTAGTTCTGTCTTGTGAAGATTAAATGGTTCCAAATGCTGCCAGTGATTTCTCAAACTGGGGTTCCCCAAGGAGGTGGTACCCGACCGAAGTGCTGGAAGCCAACATACTGAGGAGCAGGTCACTGACCACCTGTGTGCTGGGGATCGACTGTCGCCTGGCTCTGCTTTGAACCTCAGGGCACTGCATTCCTGGGCTCCCTTGTCTGCCCAGGAGGTTTGACCAGTGGGAGGCACTTCTGGGAACTGGGGGCTGGGAGAGAGCAGAAGCTGGGTTCTCTCTCCCGGTCTCCATCTGCCTTTTGTTAGGATCAAGGTTGCATCTCCATGGTGGCTCCCGCTCCCAGCAGACAGCCCTGCTGTGAGTCCATCTTCCGCCTTCTGGTCCTGGCTTCTAGGCTCTGCCCTCTCTCTGCCTCTCCACCCTTAGCGCTGGTATTGAGGGAATGAAGCCCTTCATTAAAGAATACCTACTGTATGCCTCTACATGAAGTTCAAGAACATTAAAAACACTTCCTCTATGATAGAAATCCGAACAGCAGTTGCCCTTGGGGGTCAAGGGGATCACCTGGCCAGAGGAAATTTTCTTCTTTTTTTTTCTTCTTTTTAAAAAAAATCTTTGGCTGTGCCACACAGCATATGGGATCTTGGTTCCCCTACCAGGGATCGAACCTGTGCTCCCTGTATTGGCAGCTCAGAGTCTTAACCATTGGACCACGGGGAAGTCCTCAGAGGAAATGTTCTGTGATGAGGCAAATGTTTTACACCTTGACTGAAGTGTGGGTCATATAGGTACATACATTTGTAAAGACTTGTGAAACCATGCGCTTAAGACCTGTGCATTTAACTGGGTGTGAATCATCCCTCAATCAGATTAGTTTAATAAGAAGAAATCTTGGTAAAATACCAAGAATATATTTTAATGTTCTGGTGGGATTCTGATGAAAACAGTTTTTATTTTTAAACAAATACAGGTAGACTGCAGAAGAGGACATAACATTTGTATGTGGCATTTTTGTTTGTTTCCTTTTAAACTTGGGCAAACTCTGGGAGATGGTAAGGGACAAGGAAGCCTGGCTTGCTGCAGTCCATGGGGTCACAAAGAGTCGGACACAACTGAGAAACCGGACAACAACAACAAAACAATAAAACATGCGACTTGAACAGGATTTCACACGTGGGTTGGTTTATTTCATGCCGTGTTCCCCAGTTTCTGGGAGGCATTCTTCATCTTCCCCTGCTTTTCTCTGGTCCAAAATGTTTCCCAGCACTGACTTGTATAACGTGTAGCTTGGCCTGGCGCATTGCGGAGTCATGAAAACGGTTAATTCTTACTAATAAGAGTTGAGTTTGATGGGTCCCTTTAAGGGACATTTAAGGGTCCCATTTTGACTGTCTTCAAAACAGGGTGATTTCACCTTGTGATTTTTACATAGAATTCAATCCCTGAATTCTGCCCAGGGTGGGGAGGGAGGGTTTTCTCAGCACAAGTCTGACACACAGACACGTGTTCAGGGATGTTCCTACCTCACTCCAGGAAAGCAAGCAGGAGGCTGAGAATCTCTGTGCCCCTCTTCGCCACACCCCTAGAAAAATAGCCTATCCAGACCAGCACGTGCTTCAGTCTAATGATTAAGGGGGAGATGGTTACCCATCTCCTGGAAAAAGCTCTGTGTGCGTCTTTGATAAAGGCTGTGAATGGCTCAGAAAAAATCTGGCCATTCTCCCAGGCTGTGAGTGAGAGCGAGGGGGACTAGGGCATGCTTCCCGCGGCATCTCAGGGTCCAGAGGGACCAGCTGGCTTGGGAACACGCTTGTCCTCCAGGGCCCGGATGGCAGACCCAAGCCGGACTGTGGCCTGCAGCCCAGACTGCCTGCCGAGAGGCTGACATCGAGTCTCCATCCTCAGCCTGGCTCTAAAAGGCTCTTCTCCTTGGGCTGTGGCCCCTGGCGGGTGGGCAGGGCCCCAGTACGCACAGGCGGCGCTGGGTCTCCAGGCGGCAGAAGCGGTTCTGATTGGACACTCGGGTGGCCACGCCCAGGCCGCAGGTGGTGGAGCAGGGACCCCAGGCGGTGCTCCATTCCGGGCAGGAGACGCCAGGGCCTGGGGGAGCGACAAGGCCAGAAAACTGTGATCCTGGGGGAGAGAGAGAGAGGGGTCAGCTCGTCAAGGTTAGGCAGCCAAATCCACCCACTGGCTCGCGGTGCAATCTGGGTCACGTTGCTTAACCTCTCTGGACCTCGGTCTCTTCCCATGTAAATTTCCTAATAGTTGATCGTTAGGTGTGAATAAAAGAGTGGAGGTGAAGTGCTTAACACAGTGCCTGGTTCTTGTCAGCACTTCCGAAATATTGGTTATCAGGCAGCTATGATGGGATTGACCATGACGGTCCTCCAGTAAAGGGCGAGTGTCTCGTTTCTGTATCCTCCACAAGTCCTGTGATAAGTAGCATCGTCCAGGGAGGAGGTTGGGGCCTGTGAGTGTGACGCTGCCCGTGACCTGGCGGCAGGGATGCTGGTGACGGCGAGGCCAGGTCTGGAACAGGGTGTCGGGTTCACCGTGGCCTAGCTTTTCCTCCTCCTCCAGTCTTGCTCGGCTCTGTTAATATTTTGTGTCCTTCCTTCTGTTCTTTTGTAACCAGTGGTTCTTAACTGGGGACCATTTTGCCCCCAGGAAGATACTTGGCAATGTTTGGAAACATTTTTACTGGTCACAAGTGAGGGGTGGGGGCTACTGAAATCTAGCACAGATGCTGCTAAACATCCTACATTGCACAGGACATCCTTTCACAACAAAGACTTAACCCGGCTCAAATGTCACTGGTGCCCTGGTTGATACACCTTGTGTTATATGCACGTGTGTAGTATGTAGGATGTCTGTGTGTTCATATGGCTGTAGACACACACATATGCACACACACAGTGGAGTTCAAATTACATATACGTTGCCCAGTCCTGCTTTTTATATGTAAGGCAAACCTATTGGCATTCACTAGGTTGGCCAAAAAGATCCTTTGGGTTTGTCTGCATCAGCTTACGGGAAACCCGAAGGAATTTTTTGGCCAGCCCAATATATAAACAGAGGTACCCTATTCCATTGTTGGGAGGATAACAGCTAACAGACCCTGGAATGCTGTGTGCCAGGCTCTGTCCTAACTGCTTTGCTTGTATTTACTCATCCAGGCTTCACAACAGTTCTCTGAGGCGGATGCTCTTATTCTCAAAATTGGAGGAACTGAGACTCAGAGGAGTTAAGCGATTTTCTCAGAGTCACAGAGCTGGGCTTAGAACTCAGGCAGACTCTGTGCTTAAGCCACCACACTCTACTGCCTGTCCTGTGGCGCCGTCTTCTATGTAACCAATGCTCTCTTCGGTTGCCTTAACAAATCATATTCCTATAATAATAATAATAATGGTTTCCCTAGTGACAATATGTGTAATTATGGCTGATTTGCACTGTTGTATAGCAGAAACCAGCACAACATTGTAAAGCAATTTCCCCCTAATTAAAAATAAATTTAAAAAATTAAAAAACAAAAATCCTAGTGACCTACCATACATAACATAATCTCTCAAATTCAAGAGTTTACAGGCTGAGGTCACTGTCTTTCCTGCCCACCCCTAGGCCCACATCCTGGAGGCAACCACCTTGCCTCATTCAGTTTAGAATTCCTCTTTTAATAAACCCCAATAATGACATATTAATACTATTATATAATATTTAAACTGTGTTATATTCATATGTATCCATGTCAGTACAATGATAGTCTATATTATAATAACATACCTCCATATTATAACTCGGCTGTAAAATGTGAGAACTTGGTTCAAGTGTCCTAACCCTCCTTTCCTCTTTCTACTCTGCCGCCAATTTTTATTTTTAATTGTGTGTCACTTAAAATTATACGCTTGCACCTCTGCATCTTGTTTGGTCAGTTCCACTTTCCGAAGAGTCCCCTTAGCCACCTGCCCCTCCTAGCTTTTGTCAGCATAACCTTGGCTTTGATGTGTCCAGTTGTCCTCAGACCTAAGAGGCCCCGCCCCACCCCTCCCCCACCCCTCCCCCTCCCGGCCCCCGCCCCCCGCCCCGCGCGCTCCCCCACCACGCAGGCAGCCCGGGACCAGCCCGGCACTCACCTTGGGCTGGGAGCGGCTGGACCCCCAGCCCCCCTCCCTGGTCGCACACCCACTCCGGGCAGCACTTGCCCGGGACCTCCACCCTCCTGGGGTGCGGACAGTCCCAGCTGGGGAGCCGCACGTCCTCGCTGCACAGGGGCACACACGTGAAGCCGCCGTCCTCGCAGCGGCAGCGGAGCCTGCAGTGAGGCTGAAAGGTCTCCCCGTCCCGGTAGAGGCGGCCGTTCACCTCGCAGCTGCCGTCATCCTCTCCCCCTGCGGAGGAAAAACCGGACCTCCATCGGCGACCTCCCAACTTTTCCCTGGGCAGGGCTGTGCCCGCCTCATCCTCCGCTGGGTCCTCTCTGCAGAGCTGGTGTGGAGGCGCTGGGGACGCAGAGACCTTGGGGAAAGTGAGCGCTGCAGGGGGCTCCGCCCCCGCCCCTCCTCCACCCCCCACCCCACCCCACCCCACCCCACCCCACCCCACCCCAATCATCGCGGTCCTGTCCTGTCCCCCGCAGGAAGACAGCGTGACAGGCTGCATCCTGGAACAGGCTTTGCAGGAAGACTGGCCTGGTTTCAGCTCCTTAGCTAGCTATGGACCTTGGCCAAGTGATTCTACTTCTGGGTTTAGTTTCCTCACCTGCAAAGTGGGTTTTGAAGTGAAGTGAAAGTCGCTCAGTCTGTCCGACTCTTTGCGGTGACCCCATGGACTGTATAGTCCATGGAATTCTCCAGGCCAGAATACTGGAGTGGGTAGCCTTTCCCTTCTCCAGGGGATCTTCCCAACCCAGGGATCGAACTCAGGTCTCCCGCATTGCGGGCGGATTCTTTGCCAGCTGAGCCACAAGGGAACTCCAAAGTGGGTTATAATAGTACTTATTTCACACATGTGGTATAGACTAAATGAATAGTATATGTAATGGATACAACATGAAGGAGACCTTCAACAGACCTACCTGCTCTGTTTGCTGCTGTTATTAGTATAAATTATTATATATTATTAATAATATAAATATTAATGTATTGCTGACAAGTGCTCAGTTGTGTCCGACTCTTTGCAACTCTATGGACTGTAGCCTGCCAGGCTCCTCTGTCCATGGGGTTTTTCCAGACAAAAATACTGGAGTGGACTGCCACTTCCTTCTCTAGGGGATTGTCCCAACCCAGGGATGAAACCGGTGTGTCTTGCATCTACTTCATTGGCAGGCAGATTCTATACCACTAGCATCACCTGGGAAGCCCATATATAATATGATTAGAATATACATTATTTAATATAAATATATAAAATATCATGACTATTATATACGCACTGAGATTTCATGCCACAAGCTTTCCTTGTCCATCTGCTGCATTACAGTTATCACCGTCAGGTCAGGGCTTAACTTGCTAGCTGTGTGACTTGGGGTAAGTGACTAAACTTCTCTGAGTCACTTTAACAATAGCAAGGATGAGAACAGTAATCAGAACCTTCAGTGACACAGTATCTAGCACAGGGTCAGGAATTCAAGAAACACTCTTTGGAGGAAGCCCTCAAATATTATGGGCATCACAGCCTCTTCCTCCACTGGGCATGAACTCCTGGAGGGCTGGGGCTGACAGTGTTCATTGTGGCTTCTCCTGTGCCAACTCAGAGCAGAGGTGGGACACACAGAACCGCAGGAAATGCCCCTGGAATGAATGCCTGGCACCAAACTCAGCACATGAGAGACACTGATAAGAGTTGTGATTCCTTATTCCCTTCAGATACACTGCTTCCTTCCTGGGTACCACCCACTGTGCTCCCAGACAGGACCAAGAGCCAGGTCCTGGGGGGACTCAAGGGTCAGTGCAGGGCACAGGTGTGGATGCTGCATCTCCAGGACAGAATAAAGCGAGAGCCCTGCAGAGGTGTCCGTGAGCCACTCAGGAAGTGCAGAGAAAGGAGGGTTTCCTGGAGATGTTGGTGGCACTTCGGCTTGATCTGGGGGACAAGACTCACAGGAAGCTGCTTTTCCCAGGTATGCTGAGAAAAACCTCAAATAGGTCCACACACATGCAGGAATTTCAGAACCACATAGACCTGGTTCAAATCCCAGGGGGTAATAATTTTAGCAAGGTTTCCTGGCATCTCTCCTGGGTCCTCCAGTTCAAAGCTGATTGGGGTGGGGGTGGGGGGTAATGATCCCTCTGCAGCTACTCCCCACCCTGGGTCTGTGTGCATCATGTGCATGGTCCCAGACACCATGAGGCACCTCCAAATGTACTTTCTGTGAGACCCCCACACCTATACACACTTGCAAAACCCTTCTCCTTCTGGGCTTCTCCAATGGTCTCCTTGTCCAGCAATTTCCCCCAAATAACTTCAGGGCATAACCTTGTGATCTGGTAATTTCTGCATCCCTCTTTCTCTCTGAGAGTCCCTTGCAGGAGAAGGAGCAACAGGGTATTTTTTTTTTTTAACCTGCACCCACTCGCACATTGGTTAAGTACCTGCCTACCAGTGCATGAGATGTAAGAGACGGAAGTTCAATCCCTGGGTTGGGAAGATCCCCTGGAGAAGGAAATGACAACTCATTCCAGTATTCTTACCTGGAGAATCCTGTGGACAGAGGAGCCTGGTGGTTTATAGTCCATGGGGTTGAAAGAGTCCGACACGACTGAAGCAACTTAGCATGCACACACTTGTACACTGTGGGACCTGAGGCAGGCGACTTAACCTCTCTGAGCTCCATTTCCTTCACACTCAAAATAGGGATAATAATAGGACCTACCTCATTATTAAGGATAAAATGAAATCATGTATATAAAGGACTTGTTCATAGTACCCGCTTCATAATTGGTGCCTGTTACTGCACCATTACCCCACCAAGTGGTACCTGTTACACAAGCCCCACCAGATCTGTCATTATTATTCATGCATTCAACAATTATTTGAGTGCCTACTATGTGCCAGACATTGTTCTAGGCGACTTGTGACATAGCAATGACTAAAAGCAGCCAAAATCCTGCCCTCATTGGAGCTTTCGCTCTAGTGGAAGCAAACACAAGAAACAAAGTTGAGTTTGTGATGTCAGGTGGCGATTAGTGCTCGAAAAATAAAGGAGGGCAGGGTTGAGGAGCAGAGCAGGGTTGTAGTTTTTAAATATGGTGATCAGGGAAGGGCTTGCTGAGAAAGTGATGTTTGGGTAAAGATGTGAAGGAGGTGAGAGATCTTGCTATGCAGAAATCTGGGGAAAAGAGTGCCAGTAGCAGGAACAGCTTGTGCAAAGGCCCTGAGGTGGGCGCGGGCCTGGGGTATCTGGGAGGCCAGAGAGGATGGAGCAGAGAGCAGGAGGGAGAGAGGGAGTTAGATGTGGTCAGAGAGAAAACAGGGGCAGGGTCCTTGTCGCCCGCTGAGAGGGCCTTGGCTCTTATTCTGAGAAAATAGGAGGCTGTGGGAGGATTTTAGGCAGAGGAGGGACTTGACCTGTGATCTTATTGACATATATGAAGGAGCCCTCGGGCTGCTGTGCTGAAAACAGACTAGGGGTCAAGGATGGAAGCAAGGAGACAGTTAAGGGGCTTCTGCAAAATCCAGATGAGTTATGGTGGGGATCAGACCCGGTGGAAATATTGTGAAGAATTGACTGCTGGGGAGTGAGTGGGATGTGGAAAAAGACAAAAGAGGAGCCAAGGATGACTTCAGAGTTTGAGGCTGAGCCACAGAAAAGATGGAGTTGCCTTGAGCTGAGCGGGGGAAGCTGTGCTTTTAAACTGAAGGAGAAGGACTTCCCTGGTGTCCAGTGGTTAAGACTTAGCCTTCCAATGCAGGGGCTGCGGGTTCGACCCCTGGCTAACCCCTGGGGAGTTAAGCTTCCACATGCCTCGACGTCAAACAACCAAAGCATAAAACAAACAATACAGTGACAAACTCAATAAAGACTGAAAATGGTCCACATCAAAAAAAAAAAAAAAATCTTAAAAGAAAGCGAGCCACACTGCACATGCACACAGCTCAGAGGCGGTCCCCTCAGAGAAGGACTGTCCAACTAGTGGGTGAGAGGAGAGATTTGGGCCAGCATGTTCCCTCCAGAGCCAAGACCTAGACTCAGCCTCTGTGAAGTCTTAGCTCTGCCTCACCTGTGGCTTCTCCAGCTACCAGCCTCCAAATTCAGTACCCCTCATTACACATTCATGAGCACCTGTAATTCATTATACATTCATGAATGTACATTATACATTCATGTGCCATTCATGGCACATTTGGTGTCACCCAACCAGAGCTGGAAGTTGCAGGAAGGAGCAAGGGCCAAATAAATTCTTGGCTTCCAGGTATTTAAAGTCTGAATCAAGGTGGAATAAGAAAAGCCCTGTAATAAAGTTAGTGACAGTAACTAATCATATACTGAGTGTCAGACAGTAGAGTGAAAGAAACAAAGATTGTGGAGTCAGCTCCTTGAGTTCAAATCCCAGCTCAGCCACTTCTGAGCTGTGTGACCTGGAGCAAATTATTTAACCTCTCTGGGCCTCTTTTTTCCATTTACAAGATGGGGATGACATTAGGAGCTACTTCATATGGTTGTTGGGAGATTAAATGAGGTGATATTTTGAAACTCTAGTGCCTGGCACATGGTAAGTGCTAGGCATGTGTTCAATAAACAAATTTTGCCAAGTGCTTGACATGTGTGATGGCTTATCTAGATGACAGCCTTATAAGCTAAGTGTTGCTTTTCTGAGTTTTTTTTCTTTAGATACATTTTTCTCTCCCTTCATTTTATGATGTTTATTTTATTTTTTAAATTGAAGTATATTTGATTTACAATGTTGTGCCAATCTCTGCTGTATAGCAAAGTGACTCAGCCATTCACATAAAGACATTTTTTACATTCTTTTCCACTATGGTGTACCTACAGGGAATCCAGTATAGTTCCCTGTGCTATGCGGTTGCTATACAGTAGGACCTTTCTTTCTGTTCATCTTTTTTAAAATTTTAATTGGAGGATAATTACTTGACAATATTGTGATGGTTTTTGCCACACATCAACATGAACCAGCCGTAGGCATACATGTGTCCCCTCCATCCCATCCGTCTTATATGTAATAGTTCACATCTGCTTATCTCAAACTTTCAGTCCTTCCATCCGCAACACTTCTGCCTTGGGCAACCACATTTTTAGGTACCTTTTTATTAGCAATCATCTATAAGTTTATAAAACACATCGCCCCTTTCTCATTATTATACTCCCCTTATCATAAAAAAAGTTTTTAACAGGGATTTACCATTGAAAACTTTATGTCTATAAGTTGTTTTTTTTTTTTAATTCATTTGGCTATGTTGGGTCTTAGATGCAACATGCAGGGTTTTCCATCTTGGTTGTGGCATGCAAGATCATTTTAGTTGTGGCATGTGGGATCTAGTTCTCTGGCCAGGGATCGAACCCAGGCCTCCTGCGTTGCGAGTGTGGAGGCTGAGCTGCTGAACCACCAGGGAAGTCCTATAAGTTGTGTTTTTCTTTTTAACAAGTTTTGTTTTTTTCTATAGATCGATTCATTGTCAATGACTCATGAACCTTTCTTCCTTTCTCTCTCCCGTTCTGTTTTTAAAGTGCTACATGCACAAAGATGAGAGTGATAAAGTGCTCTATAAGGTTTATTATTAAAAAAAAAAAAAGAGCACAGAACAGTCCCTCACCCTTTTCTATTTCTCTAAAGCGGTGGTTCTCCAGTGGGGGTTATTTTTCTCCCTAAGCAACACCTGAAGGGAGATGGTCACGACTTGCTGTTTGGGGTGCTACTGGTATCCAGCGGGTAGAGACCAGGGATGCTGCTTTAATTCCGACCATGCACGGAACTGCATCCCGCAGCAGAGAATCACTCAGTCTCAAATGACCCGGGAGCAAAGTTGAGAAACCCTGACCTAAAGCCCACCCAGAGGGCATAAGAGTAGAGCGGTGGAAAGTGTAACCTGCTCAAGGGTGCTAGCAGATAGCAAACTCAGGATTCATAGGCTCAAGGGCTCCCGACCCCAGAAAAAGACAGAACAGAATGCTGCTTCAGAGCCTGTTTGACTCAGTCCCCAGCTGTGTAATGTTGAACATGTCTGTTAGTATTGTGGAGCCTCAGTTTCCTCATCTATAAAATGGGTCTGAAAGTACTTACCCCAGAGGATTATTGTGAGGACTGTGTGACTTAGGAGGTAAATGCTTAGCACAGGGCCTGATACACCTTACGCCCAAAATAGAGAGCTCCTCTTTCATATTCCCAAGGGTGTCGAGGGTTCTGAGAAAGGGTGGTGACCTCTGGATTGAAGAATCTGGGAGCACTGCTCAGGGGAGGAGGTGTTTGCCCTTGGCTTTGAAAGATGGCTAGATCTGGATGGATAAGAAGGGAGGTAGGCTGTTTGGGTGGTGGGTGTGATCCGAGCAAAGACAAAAGAAAAGAAGCGGGGAGTGGGCTTAGGGAACCTTGTGTCACCAGGTTTGGCTCGGAATAAGAAGGACTTCTGGACTCAGGACCTGAAGGCCTTGACCCCCTCCCCACCACCCCCTCCACCAGACCCGCAAACCTGCTTACAGAGGCACACGGCCCCCCGGCCTCCAGGGCCCGCCCCGGGCTGGCAGACCAGGCCCTGGCTGGGGTCGCAGACGTGGAGATGGTCGCAGGGCTCCCCCAGCCGCCGCGCACATACCCGGCAGCAGTTGCAGCCGTCCAGAACCAGGGGCACCCCCGGTGGGCATTGGGGTGGTGGCCAGGGACAGGCACATGGTGTGGGACACAGCTGGGCACACACCTGCAGAGACAGAGACCCCCTCAGCCAAGGGCACTCAAGGCGGGCAGTGAGACCCTCATGACTGACTCCTTCTCTTCCAGGCTGTGCAGTGTAGAGTCCACACCTTGGCCCCGGAGTCACGTAGACCTGGCCTTGAACCCCAGCACCCCTCATCACTCTGTATGAGACAGCATGGCATTGTGGTCCTGAGCAGGGGCTCTGGATTAGTATTCCAGTCTTTACTCTGTTGCTTATTAGCGGAGCAGCCTTGGGCAAGTTACTTAAGCTCTCTGAGCCTCAACTGCCTCATCTGTGAAGAGGGGGCAATAATGTATAACTCAAAGGATTGTTTTGAGGAGTACACGAAATAAGGCGTATAAAACCTTTAGTACATGGCCTGCCATGCAGGAGATGCTCCATGCACTTAGCTATGATGACTGCTGTGTGAATTACAATAGCGGGCTTAGCCTCTGCCTTCTGGGAACTTACAGAGGCAAAAGCAACAGAACGGAGGATTAAAATGACAGGGTACTATATGTTTTCTAGCAGGAGGACTGTGGATATTTATCCTGAGGGCTGAATAAATCTAACAGTATCATGGATGTTTTTGATCTTCGGAACAATCTAGAATATGTTTCCAGATGAGCCTCAGATCAGCCAGGAAACTTGGCCTCTCGTGGGACTTATCAAATCAGAGCTTCCAGAGGCCTAGCCCTGGAATCTATGTTTTTAACGAGCCATCCAGGGGCATTTGAGGCACAGCTAGGTTACTGGTACCTCACCTCCACTCTAGCCCCTCCCCCCGCCATGTAAAGATGGGGAGACTGAGTTCCAGAGAGAGGAAGGGACACAGTCCCCATGGGTTAGCTACAGGGCTGGGAGTGTGCTTCCCCACTGAAGACCCACGGACCCAGAGTGGGTGTGGACTTCCTGTAAGAGGGAAAAGCCCCAGCCAGGGTCCCACCCCCGGGGGCAGGCTCAAGGTATCAACCCAAGTGTCCTGACTGCCCCTTCTCACCTAGGACAGAGAAACAACCAAACCAGAAACCAGGTAGTCTGGGTTCCCCATATGTCCATTGGAAGGTAGGGACCGAGGGCCACACATAATTCAAGAGGTTCCCAGTGACCCATCTCATCTGTGGACCCTTGGAGGGCTGGAGGGTTTTGTGTAGAGGATGGAAGAATTGGATACAGTTTAGGAAGGTGAAGTTAATAACCTCCTATGTCCTGTGTGTGGCCCCAAAGCAGGCAATGACCCCTCTGCCCTAATCCCTGCCTTTCCCACCCCAGGACTCCGAGTCCTGCAAACCTCTCTATGGCCTGCAGTTCCCACCATGGCCACTAGGGGCCGCCCCAAACTAGCAGACCAGCCTCCGGTGTGTGTGTGGGAGGGTGGGTTGCGGACCAGGATGCAATGACAGGGCCCATCAGCGATGGCACTGGTAACATTAGATGCAAGTGTGCAGCTCTGTGCCTGGAGTCTCGCCAGAGGGCGAGTTCCCATCTCCGCGGGCATTTCAAGCAGGAGACTGGGTGACACCAAGTTCTAGAGAGGATGGTCTAGCCTCACCTCGCAAAGCATGGTCTGGACCCACAGCAGCAGCATCACCTGGAAGCTTGTTAGACATGCGGCATCTAGGGCCCCTCCTTATGACTCTGAATCTGCATTTTCATAAATTCAGATGTGATCCACATGGCGTTGACCTGAGAAACAATCAGCCGGACTTTGGGTTTCCCTTCTAAACCCTCAGAGGCTGAGCTCCCTGGGCTGGGGGGAAGAAAGCAGAGTGAGGGGGTGGGCTTTTGACCAGAACCGGCTCTTGGGTCCTTTCCTCCGGAAAGCAGAGGTGCCAGGACATAAGCCATGTGCTTTGCACCTGTGTTCTCACTTTGGGTTCTTTCCACCAGGCAAGCTTGACAAGGCTGGGTCTACAGGAGGGACCAATGATGACTCCGATGACCGTGGCTGTCATTCACCACGGGCGCACCGTGCGCTGAGCTATGTAACGTGCTAGTTTAACCCTCCAGTGGGAGCTACAGCGTTATGCCCATTTTATTTATTTTTTTGGCTCACCTTGTAGCATGCGAGATCTTAGTTCCCCGACCAGGGATTGAACCCATGCTCCCTGCAGAGGAACCATGGAGTCTTAATCACTGTACTGCCAGGGAAATCCAGCATTATACCCATTTTAAAGACAGAGAAACTGAAGCTTAAAGCGGTATAGCGACATCACCAATAACAGGTAGATCAGGAAAAGAATCAAGGCTCATGTGGATCCAAGCCCAGGCTCTTAACTGCAACACCCACCTCTTGTCACCTATGGCTCTGATGCCAGCTTAGCCTCTGCATCAACTTACTGTTTGCTCAAGAGGGATAGGGACAAGTCAGGGAGGGTGTTTCAGCACAGCCAAGGAGAAAGAGGTCTTGTCTAGTCTCTATCTCTATTCCCTTTCCAACCAGCCTGTCTCTATGTTCAAGCTGTCGCATCACACTTGGTTCTCCCAGACCTTTGCTGTGGTCCCCAGCGGGGCAAGAGCCCTGGACAGGGAATCTTCCAGGCAAGAGTTGAAATCCAAGTTCTACCACTGAGTCGCTGTGTGGCCTTGGACACGTCGCTGCTGCATCAGGAGAGGGGAGGTGTCCTCCTCAGTAAATGGGGTGGAGACCACCTGTCTTGGAGTCAGGGATTTAATGAGGTCATGGGCAGCTTCTGGCCAATGTGGCCTGGCTTGTTTCCAGGTCTCTACCACCTGCCCCTGTCCACAGGCCTGAGCTCAGGAGCCCACAGCCCGCCTGAAAGACTCGCAATTCTCTCTCTGAGGATTGTCGTGGCTTTCATGTGCGTGATGACTAAGTCCCTGTGTTCTGTGTGGGATGCTGCCTGGCTGCCTGGGGCCTGGGAAGAATGGAGGGCTGGGGGAGAGAACGGGGAGTCTAGGACTGCTTCATTTTGACCTTGCCTTTAATCCCAGGCCCAGAACCCCAAGTCCCCAGCTCCCACTACCCAAGCTACCCTTCCTGGCATCATCTCCTGCTCATCCCGGTTTGGAAGAATAAAAAGCAGGGTTAGGATGCCAGCAGGGTTCTCAGCCTTCCCCCAACCACTGCTTGGACCCAGGAGAGAGGCGTTCCTGCCTGTGATTCTCAAAAGAGCATGAAAATATAGTGAGATCATAGCTTGCAGCAGGGCCAATCCCCATGACACCAGGAACTTGGCATTTGTTAAGGTGATGGCAGGCTCAGCAGCTGTGGCCTTGGTCCAGGTTGGAGGTGGAGAGATACAGACTACAGTCCCCTCTCCTCACACCCAGGCCTGTCCTGGTCTGTCTCCTCTATTGCTCCAGTGCTGTGTGGCTTCAAGCAAGTTGCTTACCCTCTCTGGGCCTTGCTTGACTGAAAACAGGAAATAATCATTCCTGATGAGGTTGTTGGGCATGTTAGGCAAGGTGGATGCCCTTTGAAAATATCCCACAGGAGAAGGTCTTTATTCTCTAGAGCTGTCTCCCTACCCTCTCCAGCTAGGGTCAGTAGGCCACTCACTGCCCGAAGGCCAAACAGCATTAATGCCTTTGTATGAACCTTCCAATGGGCTAGGCACCCAACATCCATTCAAATCCTGCCTCCTAGTTAGACAAAGCAGGCCCCCTCTTGAGGCTCCCTATTTATAATGAGGGGACCAACTTCTGTTTGCAGAGGGACTTTAGGGATTGATAGTCATAAAAGTCCTCTCTTAAGCATTTGTCATATTCTAGGTCCTGTGCTAGGCTCTGGAGATGAACTATGATAAATGACCTTCCCAAAGGCCTCATGGACATTATACCCATTTACCTGAGGAAGGAGCTAAGGCTCAGAGAGGGGAAGGGATTGTCTGAGGTCACACAGCAGACTTGGCCAGAGGGAGGCAGCTCTCTGGGCACCTGGGAGGGAAGCTCAGCTGAGTCCCATCATAGGAGGCCCACAGGAATTCTTCCAGGGGGTCCTTGACCGTGATTTCACATCTCCCCCACCACACCAAGGAAGCCAGCAGTACATTTCAGGGCCCGGGGCCCCCTTACCTTGGAGAGGAGACAGAGGAGGGAGAAGGCGAGGAGGTGGGTCTGAAATGTGCCTCTCATGTCACTGTGTCCCCCACGGAGCCAGCTTTGAGCCTCGGAGGCAGGACCTGTAAGTCTTTATGTTCCGGCGGCTGTGAGGTCACTCCCAGGCATACACACACACACGCACACACACACACACACACACACACACACACTGGCGTTTGTAGCCCTGTTTCTCTCCCATCCTCATCTTCCCACTGATGAGCCCATTTACCTGGGGGTGAGACCTCCGAGGCCACCACGGAGGTGCTTGCCAGTGTGTGTGCGTGTGTGTGCGTGTGTGTGTGTGTGTGTGTGTGTGTGAAAGTCAGAGCCAGTGCCAATGCCGAGAGCCTGTGACAGGCTGGCAGGGGCCTCACTAGCTCCTCCCAGCCCCAGAGGGCCTGCCCAAGCTTCTGCTGGAGCTGCTGGCGCCCTGCCCCAGACCCCCTGGCCGACCCGGCAGTGGAGGGGGCACTGTAGATCCAGAAAGTGCTCTGCAGACGCCCCCCTTGCAGAGCTGACCCAAGTCCTCCCAAGCCCCGTGGTCCGGACTCCCGGCGGCTTCAGCGGGCCTGCGGTTTCTGGCAGGAAGATTGGCAGCCGTCCAGAAGCGGGTGTGACCCACAGCAAAACTTCCCTGGGCGGCCCGTTTGCTTTTGGCAACCAGGAGCCTCCCCATGGCCTGCTTGCTGAGCTGTGGATGGTGACCTGCGGTGGCTGAGCCCACGCGGGCTGGACCTAGTGTGTGCTCTTGCTGGGCCCTGCTACATGATGGGGTCCTCAACAGTGATCTGCAAGAACCAAATCCTTTTTGTTGAATTCAATCAACTCTGAGGCCCCTCTGTGGTGTCTCCAGTTCCTGAAGAGGAGGTAAGCTGAGAGGGGGAAAGGACAGTAAGGGCGGGCAGGTGGAATTTCAGGGAATATAGAGGAAGGGTCCTGTTCAGACAGAGGGTGAGGGTGAGCTCTCTGAAGCGGGAGCCAGGGATAAAGGTAGTGAGAGAGGGCGATGCTCCAGGCAGAGGGAACAGCACATAGATGCTAGAGGTGGGGGACCGCGTGATAGCAGGGCCTATTCTGGGAGCCAAGAATGCCTGCTGTGTCTGGAGCTGACAGTGAGGTGGGAAGCAGTGTCACACATGAGGGGGTAAGACACATGAAATTCACACCACCAGAGACTCTGAGCTTCCAATGCAGGGGGCCAGGTTCGATCCCTGCTCAGGGAACTAGATCCCACAGGCTGCAACTAAGAGTTCACAGGCTACAACTAAAGATCCTGATGCTCTGTGATGACCTAGAAGGATGGGATGGGAGTCAGGGTGGGAGGGAAGCTCAAGAAGGAGGGGATATATGTATACATATAGCTGATTCCCTGGTGGCTCAGATGGTAAAGAGTCTGCCTGCAATGTGTGAGACCCAGGTTCGATCCCTGGGTTGGGAAGATCTCCCGGAGAAGGGAATGGCAACCCACTCCAGTATTCTTGCCTGGAAAATTCCATGAATGAAAGAGCCTGGAGGGCTATAGTCCATGGGGTCACAAAGAGTCGGACACGACTGAGTGACTAATATATACACACATAGCTGATTCACTTTGTTGTGCAGCATAAACTATCACAACATTGTAAAGCAATTATACTCCAATTAAAAAAAGAATACTGGAAGTAAAAGAAAAACAGTGCAGATCCCACATGCCCCAACGAAGATCCTGCAAAGACACAACCAAGCCTCAGTGCATCCAAATAAATAAGTAGATATTTTTAAAAACCTCACCACCAGCATCACTAGGAGGGGGAAGGTATAAAGACATGAGCTTTGACTGTAGAATTTGGCAAAGGTAATACTAAGGGTGGTGTCAAGAAGGCTTTGGCCCCCATCATCTCCCCCAGTATCCCAAATCTCAAAGTGATGGAGCTGGCCAGCAGAAGAGTCCGGAAAGCACAGTTGGCAAGGAAGAAGAGTGACTTGATACTGGGAGCAATTCCAGGACGAGGAGTTAATATGAACAGAGGTTGAAGATAAAAATGTGGGATTTGATCATTTACTGCTGGAGGAAGTGGCTGAGGGTGAGGGTTGTGGGTCCCCAGACTTGGAGAGAAGGAGAAACAGTGTTGTTTATTCAGGCTCGTGTTTGAGTTAGAGGCAGGCTTAGGGTATTCTACACCCAGGGTGGATCAGTTTTGGAATACCCACCACCTTCCTATAACAAAGTGTTATCAGTCATCAATGTGAGAAGAAACAAATATAGTTCATTTATGAACTAGAATTTGCACTTACCATGTGAAAATGTTACCCTTCGCAGTCTACACTGTTTGACTTTTCTAAATTTTAAACACAAATTAAAATTTCAATAAGTCACCTGGGATGACAGACTTGAACTCCCTGTATCTTCATCTTCTCCATCACTCTACAGTCATTGGTTTTTTTTAAATCTATTCGTGAGATGCAGAAATATGTGATACCGTGGTGTTGGAGGCAGAAACTGTACTTGGAGCAAGTACAAAAGATTCCAATCTGTTAGGAACTGACTCTCTTGGTGAACCTGTGTTCCCGAGACCCTGTGTGCTGGTGGCAACTGCATCCCTAGAAATTCTCCATGTCAAAGAGGTTTATTAAAGGATAAATCAAAACGTGCTGATGTGAAGCTTAGCTACATGTTATTAAAATACAACTTGTGTTAGTCACTCAGTCATGTCTGATTCTTTGCAACCCCATGGACTGTAGTCCACCAGGCTCCTCTGTCCATGAAATTCTCTAGGCAAGAATACTGGAGTGGGTAGCCATTCCCTTCTCCAGGGGATCTTCCCATCCCAGGGATCAAACCCTGGTCTCCTGGGTCGCAAGAGTCGGATATGACTTAGCAACTAAACCGTCCCAGGTGGCCCTTGTGGTAAAGAAGCTGCCTGCCAATGCAGGAGACACAGGTTCAATCCCTGGGCTGGGAAGCTCCTCTGGAAGAGGAAATGGCAACTCACTCCAGTATTCTCACCTAGAAAATTCCATGGAGGGAGGAGCCTGGCAGACTACAGTCCATGGGGTCGAAAAGAGTCAGACCTGAGTAAGCAACTGCACATTTATTTATTGAATTTCTATGTTTTGACCATGCCAGGATCTTAGCACCTCAATCAGGGATCGTAACCCTGCCTGCCACAGTGGAAGTGCAGTGTCTTAACCACTAGACAGCTAGAGAAGTTTTAGGTCCCTGGTTTTAATAATAATGAAAGTGATTATGTATTGAGGACCCAGTAAGAGCTGACCCTATGCTGAGTACTTTTTATAAAAAGTGGTGTTTCTAATCCTTGTCATCCATACCTTAATAAAAAAAAAAAAAAAGAAAAACTGAAGTCCAGAGAGGTTAAGCAACTTGCCAAAAGTCACACAGCTAGAAAACAGAGCCAGATTTTCAGCGGAGGTTCATATGACTCCAAAACCTATGCTGTGGTTATTTATTTTTGCTACTGCTTAGAAAGCTCTCTGTGGCATATATTTTTTAAAATTGAGGGGTAACATATAAACAGAAATGCTTACAGTGCACTAGTGTTAAATGCACGTCTCGACAACTCTTCACATACATACACACCCATGTAACCACCACCAAGATACATTTCCAGAAAGTTTCTGACGCCTCTTCCAAAACTATACACTCTGCCTCCCAAGGTACTCACTGTTCTGACCTCTATCACCATGGATTAATTTTTGCAAGGAGGAACAGTTTTGTTTTGGCTTTTTATTTTATTTTTTCACTTTTTATTTTGTGTTGGATGGCTGACTAACAATGCTGATAGTTTCAGGTGAACAGTGAAGGGACTCAGCCATACACATACATGTATCCATTTGGGAGGAACAACTTTGAACCAGTTCTGCCTCTGAGGCAAGAAGGAAGATAGAAAAAGCTAGGAGGCGTGAGGGGGAGGTGGAGAAAGGCACTTTGTTCACAGCAGTGTCCATATCAGAGGAGGAGTCCCGCCCCCATCAGTGGGGGGAGGCCGGTGTGCTTTCCGAGGCAAGTGAAGGAGGCTCAGAGTGTGCGCCTGGAGGTGACAAGACTTCAGTGGAAGCGCTGCCTCCTGCCTCAGGGGCCCCTCTGAGTCAGAGCATGTGTTTGTGCTTGGAACTTCTTCTCTCTAAATAACCGAAGTTGGGCGAGTGTGGACAGCGGGCGGTCCTGGGGCCTGGCCAGTTCAGGAAGCACGTGGGTTGGCATCACGGCGTTGGGTGATGAGAGTGTGCGTGATGAACACACATCACGAAACGCCGAAAATCCGCGGCAGGAGCTGCCCCTGTGCTGACTGGTTAATGGGGTTCAGGCCCCCAAAGTGCCAAGTTCAGCACTAGAGGGATGTGACAGTCCGGGGAACCCATGAGACTTTTGGCTAGTGCCATAGGTTCCTCTAAATAAGGCCCTAGAATGAGCACAGATGCTCTTTGCACTACCAGAAGCAAATTTCAGGCTTGTAAGCCAAACAGTCTCCACTTCAAATCCTGGCTCCCCCAGTGACTTTTGGCACTGGGACCAGGATGCAGAAAGAGAGGTGCCAAGGGAGAAGAAAGGAAGGCGCTCTCACTCTAAGGTGCTGACCTGGCACGTGTAGGACCGGGAGAGTGAGGGGCTCCTCAAAAGTGAGGCGTCCAGGCACACTTCCCCGGTGGCCCAGTGGTTAAGGCTGTTTGCTTCCACTGCAGGGGGCACATGTTTAATCCCTGGTAGGGGAACTAAGATCCTACCTGCACAGGGGAAAAAAAAGAAACCCTGCACAAAATGAGTTTATGGTAGGAACTCAAGAAATATGGGTTGACTGGCTAAATGAAAACTCCCTATCCCAATGTTTGAATTGGGGTTCATTAGGCTATGCTGAGGTCACAAAAAATCTCCCAGATCTCAATGGCTTAACCCAACAAAGGTTTAGTTTTGGTTCAAATGGCCCAGTGAAGCTGGGCAGATATTCTCCATCTTGTAGCTGCATCCTCTCAAACCACCCTTCCCTCCTCAAATCTGTGCTCTGATAGAGCAACACCATTCAGTTACTTGTTTGAAATGT